CATGGCAAATCACACCAATATCATAATTAAGTAAAGAGAAAATTTTGTATTGCTCTAATAGTAGAGCAAAAAAGAAAAATAAGTAAACTCTTAGAGAAATATGAAGAATGAAAATTAATTAAATGATACTATAGGATAAGGTAATCCAAACTTAAAGAATGAGATCCTCTTTAATACACTTTCTCTTCACATTTCTTTTTAGAGGATTATCTATCATAAATTTTAAGTAAAATTTATAGTATATTAGTGGTGTTTTTTATTCATTAATACCAAATGATTTGGTCATAACAAAATAGAGAAATAAAAATATTAGAGGGAACTATTTTTACCATATGTTATTGAAATTTAATTTGTTTATATAATTTATTAACTTAATTGAACTTTTTTTTTTTTTTGATTATTGCAATCAAGAGTATTCAAATCAATTTATAGCATTTTTTTCCTTAGCTAATTTTCTACTTAATCAGATCAAAAACAAATTATTCTATAAATTTTTTTTGATCAAGGGGACTATAGAATACGTTACGACAATTTTAACAAAGATTGCTTCATGCATGCGTCAGCTAAACCCGTAAACCTTGTGTTGTGTCCCTTTTTCTGTTACTACTTTTTAAAGCAAAACCGTGTTGTATGAGCCAAACGCCATTAACGAGTGACCTATGAAAAACACACAAACCTCAAATCTCACATCATCTATTTATCTTGTCCGAAACGACCTCACAGAGTCCACCTCATTTGCTCAATTTACATTTGCTTTTTCTCAAAAACTCATCAAAACGCGTTGCTTTTCCTTTTTGTTAACTCAAAAAGTCAAAGAAGAGCCCTCTGAACTCACGGACTGCAATGGATCTCTTCCACAACGCCACAGCTGTGCGCCTCCGCAGCCACCATGACAAGTACTTAACCGCCGAGGAAGATGAAGAATCAATTACCCAAGACCGGAACGGCTCCTCCAAGAACGCACGTTGGGCTGTTGAGTTCGTTGAAAATTCGGATACAATGTTAATCCGCCTCAAGAGCTGCTACAACAAGTACCTCACCGCTTCAAACCATCCTTTTCTTCTCGGCATGACTGGCCGGAAAGTGATTCAGACCCTTCCTAGCCGGCTCGACTCTTCCGTCGAGTGGGAACCCATCAAAGAAGGTAATTGTGTGAGGCTTAAAACTCGGTACGGCCAGTTCCTCCGTGCCAATGGTGGTCTACCGCCGTGGAGAAACTCAGTGACCCATGATATTCCTCACCGCACTGCTACTCAAGATTGGATCCTCTGGGAAGTTGATGTGGTTGAAATTCTTGTTCAGTCCCCTTTGCCGAAATTGGTTCCTCATTCAGATTCGTTTGCCTCAGAATCAAGCTCTCCTTCAACTCATTCTACCAAGTCTGCTAGTTTTTCCAGATACGAGGTTTGATTTCAGTTCCCAAAATTGCTGATTATAGATTTTCTTTGTTGTTTGGCAGCTCTATGAAATTCATACCCATGTTTTGGAATTTGAATTGGAGGACAGAAAACCCAAATTTTCAAAATTTGAAGTAATGCAGCTTTCGATTCTAATTCCTGGGCATGAATTTCATGCTGACAGAGTATAAATATTTAGTTGTGTAATTATGGGTTTTGATTACTGTTTGGCAGCTCTATCAAGTCCATACCCATGTTTTGGAATTCGAATTGGAGGGAAGAAAAATGAGTTCTTAGTATAGGGACTGATACAGATTTCCATTCTAATTCCAAGGCATAACTTCATACTGCCAAACGCAGTAGAAATGTTCAGATTGTGTTATTTTGGGTTTTGATTTTGTATTTTTTGTTGTTCTTTTTTGAATGCAGTTGGGTGATTCTATTATTGATTCGCCGCCTAAAGTGGGGGATGGTAGGACTATATATTATAATGTTGCAGATGAATTTGGGGTTGTGGATGAGGGGGTTGAAGGGCTTCGTGTTACGTTTAAGGGGAATGGGGTTGAGGAATTGACCAGGAGGTTGGAGGAAGAAACAGGGCTTGATAACATTGTTGTGTGCTCGCGTAGTCCATTGAATGGGAAGCTTTATCCCCTTCGATTGCAGCTTCCTCCGAAAAATGTGACTATGCATGTTGTTGTGGTTCAATCTTCTTCAAGAGGTGAGCTTTTGCTTTGAGCTTCTATGATAATTTGTTGTCTCTGTGATACTTGTGTTGGTTGTGTTACATGGGATGCATTTGTATTGACAATTCATTTGTGGTTATCGTGATTAATTTAAAAACTTGAATGATAGCAGCAGGTCAATTATGCTGCATGATGATATTGTAGCCGTGAACTTATTACTGGGTTTTTGAACTTTTTGTTGGTAAAGAAATTGAATGTCATTGGTAGGAAAGTGTAGTGCTATTACAAGAAAGAGGAAAGAATAGGAACAAACCCTCTTACGAAGAATTTCAAAGCACAAAAAGATTTACTTTGTAACTTTGGCTTTTTATTTTTTATGTTCTCTATTGTACTGTCACATCTGGGCCCTGGTGGTGTTATTATTCAATCTAATGACTAGGGGTCCCAGCATTTCGGCCTTCTGAGTTTAATAGAGGGGAAACTTGGTTAATCTTTCTATCAGCTTTTGACATGTTCATTGTTCTTTTTGCAGCTTAACCTTTGAGGAGAGAAGTATAATGGAGTTCATATATTCGTATATGATAAATGTCCTGGAAAAAGAGAGATGTGAATCAAGTTTACCCTAGATGGTTACATGTGTCATCCATATTTTTCAATTAATAATTTACAAGAAGCAGTATGCATCTTTAAGCAAACTAGCATAGACCCGATAAGCGTGATGGAATGCACTACTGTCCTGGGGTATAAATTACAAGGGTGCTAATTGGGGGAATATAGTAGGCGTTGTGCATTCAAGTGATCATATCTAGGAATTTAGGAGCATGCTTACGCAGTTTTTTATCACCTATAGATCACTTTTGGCCATATTGATAAAGGATCGTGAATTCCTAATTAAATGGATAGAAGCATTTGATCGTTCAGTTTAATTTTTGTGTGACCTAATGGTTGGTAATTAGATCATTTTTTGTATTGATTTGTGTTGCTTTTCAAGGATGATGGAGGCTGGAAGTAATTATTTTTAATCTTATAAATTGCCTTCTGCTTCATAATGATTGCCAGCTTTCTGCTTGGTTAGGCTTGTGTGAGCTTCAATTTGCTCCTTGTTGAAGTAGTGTTTCTTGAAGTATTTTAAACTTGGAAGAACAATCACTGAAGAACCTCTCAACTCATTTACAATTCATTTTCTGTGTTGTGCGCATTTTTTCTGTTCGCATTTATATGTATGACATGATTGCATTATCCAAAATTCTTTTGCTTGGCTTCACCTTCTTTTTTTTGGTGTATCAGTGGCTACAGAATTTGTGAATTCAGTAACACCATTATGACATGCATGGAGAAGACATCTCAGTTTTGCTTACACGACAACCCCACAAGCTGTATGTTTTGTGACATCCTGCTTCTAGCGCTCGTTATGCTTACAGGAAACACCAAGGAATCAGATTGAGAGGCTTGCACTTACTAGTCTCATGGAGGGCTTCCACAACTGATTTTGTTAGAAGTTTCTGGTTTGATCCCCTACCCGTTTATTTTTTTCTCAAGGGACTTGTATAACTGATTACCCTGTAAATCCTTTTGTGAACTTCTAAATTCTATAGACTCAATTGTTGGATCTCTCTCTTTCTCTCTCTCTCTCTCACACACACACACTCTGCTGGTACTGTATGTAAAACCAGGTATTCACATTTGAAGATTCCTAGTTGCTGTGGTTGTATCGATTTCATCTTGCAGAAAATCTTCAACTCTTTAATTGTTCAAATTTCCAAATATTCAGCTCATTGTGACAGCAATGGCTCAGAGAAAATTGGTCAAACAGGCAGCCTGGAGAGAGAAATCAGATAAAACATATACTTGAAGACTGGAATCGTTTGTGGAAATTCTGTACAGAATAATCCAACAACGAGAGAATGATCCAGCGTATGCCATTGCTAATGATGCCCTTCAACATTCTCATTTTTGCAGGAATCTGAGGTTTACAGTGACATTCTAGGGACAAAAGACGACCACATTTCTTGACTTTCTAATTACCTATTGTTCAGAATTCCTATGCTGTCTCACAGCCGTCACTGTTTATGGCGTAGGAAGTGTTAATGCAAGGCAAAAAATCCGAGCAACCATAGTGAAAACAATAAGACCACTTGTGCATCTGCAAGACCAAAAACGATCCTGAAGATTTTCCGTTGTAATCCCTTCCGATGCTTATGTTGGTATACGATAGTGGACAAACTATCAAGTAAGAGAAGGCTCAATCTTGTGTACTTTGGTGAATGAGTAGTGTTACATTTAGACAAGGTTTGCAAGAGGTAATCCATGAGTAAAGGGGTATTGAGTCACTGAATGCTGTCGATTCTGTCGTTATGGATCAAAAATGGGAATAAAACAGACAGAGAAATCAAGCAGCTGTGGTAAAAGGATGTCTCTCTTAGGCCTTTGAAGAAATTTAGAAGCCTAGAGATATCAGAGGTAGGAAACGTAAAAGAAAATAAGACAGAGAAATTTAGAAGCCTAGAGATATCAGAGGTAGGAAACGTAAAAGAAAATAAGACACAGAGGATTACTTGGTTCGGCACGCCTACACTCACGGACCAAACATCCTAACACCTCTGTCGATGGATATTTATTGGTAATTGATTACAGAAGACCAACCCTAAAACAAACTCACTTGTCATTATATATACTTACTCTAACTATTGTGGGTAGTGATGGATCCAAAGAGATCCTATCCTATCTTATCTCCCTAATAGTTAACATCAATTTAAGGGTCACCAAGCTCCAAATCTCTTCAAATTAAAAGTCAAGGGTCCATATACAAGAAGTTTTCCGTACAGATATCGAATCATACATACACCAAGGCATTTTGAAATTCCATCTTACCGTCTTCGACGGGTAAATAAAAAGATTAGTCCTTAAACTATACTTCATATTTAAAAATGGTCTCTGAACTTTTGATTATCTGAATTTAATCCCTCAACTATATAGATCGACGTCAAAGAAGCCTCAGATTATTGCATTCCATTCATCAGCCATATGGAAGAAGATCCATCTTGAAGCTTCCAAACAAACTGCCAAACTGGTAACCCTCATAATTGCAATTCTGTACACTCCACACTTTTCTCAACTTCTTCCCCTTGCAGTATACATGTTGCATTTGCCTACATTCCAACTCCAACTTGCTGGGCCAGAGAGAGAGAGAGAGAGTAAAGAGTATATAGTCAACTCATCCTGGACAGATAGTATACAGTCAACCCATCCATGTTAATTTAGCTTAATGAACTCAACCATCTTGAATCCAAAAGAAATAATTAGGCCTAAGGCTCTCAATTCTAGGTATGACTCGTTATTCCTACGCAAAATTGATACAGAATTAATGAATAATAAATTTGGAAGAAAAACAGATGAACTTGTTAGATCTATTTAATGAATAGGTTGACATGAACTCGGCACCTACTAAATACTATTTTATGCTCAACTTTCACATGATACGACACAAATTCAACAATATATGACATATGAGTTAAATAAATTTGGGTATAAACTCAATACGACACGACTTATTAAAAACCCTACGATGGCCTCAAATAAGATATTTACCGTGACAATAGGCATGGCTCAATAAAGCTATTGTTTAACCAGCTTTGGCAGCTTGTTTGGAAGCTTTCAAAATGGATCTTCCACATGGCTAAAGAAGGGAATGCAATAACTTCAGACTTCTTAGACGATGATCCATCGGACTTTTGCATGGCAGAGACATTGGCTACAGCCTAGCTCCAATCTTCTCTTCTCAATTTGATCTTTGGAAGGGGAGCTTTTTGTTTTTATAGGTTGATGGCAGTAAGAGGGAAGGGAATAAAGGAATACGATTCGATTCCCTGATGGAAAAATAGAAGCACAAGCACCCCTTGAAGTGGTGTGATAATATAGTTTAAGAGCGACATGAATCCCGTGACTCATCCCGTGACGCAATCTTATATCTAAGCTAGTCAATCGTGTCAGATAACACAAATTTGTGTTAAGTCTTATCGGATTCGTGTCAAAAAATATTTTACTCATATTTGATTCTTTTATTAATTCGTGTCTAATGAACCATGTTATATCAAGTTCATATCGTATATGTATTAGGTATAACCGGAATATACACAAGTTGTATCGCATATTTTTTTTTGATTGGTTTCATTCATACCTATTTCGGTTATTAATCGCGTCATTTCGGGTCCATTCGTTTACGAAATAGATAGTTTAAGAAAGATTCAAACCTTCTAATTTCATATCATATTAACGAATCGTGTAATATTTTAACACTCCTACTTATATCACGTGGTAAATTTGAGCTTTGTACTTTTATTATTCTATTCATTCTAAAGTCGCTTTGTCTAGTTCAAAAAACAAAATGTTGTACTATACAGGGTCAAAATATTATGAACAATATTAAAAACGTTGAGGATAAGTAGGCGAGAGTGACGAGAGAAATCCTCTGCAATCCCACATCATTTTGGTCGGGACAAACAAAAATGTTTTGGGTTCATGGGAAGTAGTTTGTGCTGACTCAATTCTACGTTGCTGGGTGAATTATGTGCGATGTGCTTGATAAATTTGAGTTTTGTAGTTAACCCACTGTCATCACTAGTCATACAATATCATTGATTTTGTACTTTATTATATAGATACTGGATCTTATTTCGTTCATTCTTGAGTTTAAAGTATTTGTTTAAATGTAAATACTCAAGAAGTCATCACTACAGTAAGGAATAGTAAATGTCCTTGAACTTTTGGATTCAATATAATTCTCAATCAAATCTTTTGACCCCATATCACAAGTTGATCTCTAAATTCTGCTACCTTTCTAAACCACGTCATCTATGCTATTCTCAAATAAAAAAACAAGTGTACGTATGAGGCTTTCGTCATTGCGAGATTTGGGAAGGGTTAAATGTACGCAATCTTATTCCTTAAAGCATCTCCAACCTTTCTTTTTAAAATAAAGATTCAAAATATATTTTAAATATTACATTCACTACTTTAGCTAACCATTTTTATAAATTCACTCTCAACTTTCACTACACCCAATTTTCACTAACTTCTAATAATTGAAAAGAAGTAAAACATATATATAAAGAGAGATAGAGAGAAAAAAAAGGTAAAGAGAGAATTTAGAGAGTTCAAATGGCTCACCATTTTGGTTAACTAGGAAATAGAGAGTGGAATAGAAAATGAGTTGGAGAGAATTTTTTGTATTTGACTAGCTAAAGCAGTTAAAAGAGAAGAAATAGAGAGTGGGTTGGAGATGCCCTTACAAACTGAGAGACGCTTTCTGCAATTTGAACCTGTAACTTTCGAGTAACAATATAGCAATATTACTATTGTACCAAAATATAGAATCTAAAATTGAAGGGGGACACAATTTCAGAGATGATTATTGGAATTCTATTGCTTTAAGGATAACACAAATATTGTCTTCTATGGACAGGTATGCATGCCAAAAGGTGGATTTGAGGGTAAAGATTACAATACGAGAACTTACTTTTCAACAATCATGAAATTAAGATTCAAACTGTAAAGATACAACTCAATACGGTTGATTAAGATTAAAACTAAAAACTTGGGATCGATCCCTACAAAAATTAACTACTTCAAATCAAGATATATAACTTTTGTAATATGCTCTTTGTTGTCGGAAAATTTTATTTGTTGTCTCTTTATTTTCCTGTTGTCATTCGAAATCGAAGATTGAGAACTGAGCATTGAATTGATGAATCTGACTATTTTGTCAAGCTGCGGAAGCAATGTTGTTGCCAAGCTTAAAATGTTGCTTATTAGTCAATACAAGAGGAAAGCTTTTTAGCGTCGAACGTTCATCCCCAAACTTTTTGCGACGAATTTCGTGGCCAATTTGGTGTTTAGAATTCCGTCTGAATGCGTGTTTGGGCCAACCCTGAGCAATAATAAACCATATGCCAGTCTAGGCCTGGTCCAACCTAGGGCTAGAAGAGCCTAGTCCAAACCCTAGTGTTTCCCTCTGCTATTTTTTTCATGCTTTTGCAGTTAATTGACTTCCCTTCCAGTTAGGAAAGCAAGAACGGTTGGGAGCAAAAACAAACACGCTATTTACTGTACTGGACCTTCAACCAGACATTCTACCTTTATCGACAACTCCAAGATAGATAGCTATATAAGTAAATGCCTGCCTTTGACCATCTGCAAATGTCCTTGTGCAGCATCAGATTCTAGTGTGTTGAAGATGCATTTTGTGAAAAACAACAGAAACATTCGGAAACTAGAATCGAAGCAACATTATCATCTCTTCAACAACGTGCATCAAGCGATCAGAGAGCTACTATAGTTCCTTCAACTCCCCACATTACGTATCCCTTCCCTGAACGTAGCTGGTTATGGAATTCCATCCGACTGCAGACAACCTGGCTTCTAGCATTTTGGCTTTCATCTACTGGTTTACACTCCATCTTATAAGATCAGAAGGCACAACTCCCCCGCCGAGGAGTGTTCTTGACGGATTAGTTACAACACAGTAGCTCCTCATCACAGTCCAATTGTAGAACTCCTTTGGTCTTCATATGAGCATTTTGACGCCACCAGTAAAAAAATGTACAAGGTTCTTTCGATCAGAAAGCGAACTCTAATCACTGAAATCCGGGATTTTCCTTGTAAATGTGAACAAAATCACTGAAATCTGAGCACCATGGTGTGTTACAGCCTCCACCCAACTATTTGTATCCCAGTGGACCATTAGTAAATGTCAAAAAGGAAGAATCGCTAGGGTATGCAGTGACCCTTCTCCAACTCAAAACATTACATTTGAAAGAACAAATTACCAGAGAAAAGAATATAGTAAGCATTTATCCCAACGTATGATTTCATTTACATAGCAGTTTTAGTCTTTTCTTTTTGTTCATAAACCATAAAGACTACTTGACACAGCTAACAACAGCAAATAGTCACCAATAGTCCATGCAGGAACAAGAGCCATTTACAAAATGATGGAACCGAACACGATCTCTTACAATAATCTCCACATTAAAGATTCTGGAAATTAATTTGGTCACATTGTGACAGTCGCTGCATACTCGGAGATTTTTCAATATACGAATTGGCACCCCTGGTTTGAGGTTTAAGAGACCAAAAGCAATTGCAAGTCTCTCACTATGCAGCCTAAGTGAATATTGTTTTCCACTATCAAGTTTATCAACTGTATCTGCTCGGGAAAAGTCAGGAACATACCCCACAAATTGTAATCTTTCTTCAATCACATCCAAAAAATTGTAAATTTCTTTGGTTTGAGGATGCGACACGTCCCCAGCAAAAAATTCATGGATGATACCATCTATCTCCATTGTAGAACACCCAGGCTCTTTTTTAACACCCCTATTGGTCATTAATTTTCTAACCAACCCAACCTCATTCCACCGAGCAGCTGAAGCATAGACTCTGGACAAAAGCACATAAACACCGCTACAATCATCCCCTTCCAACTCAATTATCTGTCGGGCCACTCCTTCACTTAGCTCCACTCCAGCATTCATCTTGCAGCAAGCATCAAGAAGACTCCTCCAGATAGCCGCATCAGGTTTCATTGGCATGTTGGACACAATATCGAGTGCTTCCTCAATTAGCCCAGCTCGAGCATGGAGATCAACCAAGCAGCCATAATGCTCCAATACTGGTCTAATCTTGTATTCAGTGATCATCATATCAAAATACTTCTGACCCTCACCAACCAAACCTCTATGATTACATGCACTTAACACACCAACAAATGTAACAGAATTGGGCATTACTTTTTCATTAACCATGCAATTAAAATACTCAAATGCTGCCTCACCTTGCCCGTGCATGGCAAATCCTAAAATGATTGAATTCCATGAATTCACATCAGGTTTTCGCATCCTCGCAAAAACCTGCCTAGCAATTCCCAATGACCCACATTTGCAATACATATCCACCAAAGAGTTGTTCACTAAAACATCACTACCCACGTTAGGATCACACTTTCTCAAAACATAAGCATGAGCCCACATCCCCAAAGACAAAGCCCCCAACCCAGCACAAGCACCTATAACACTCTGCAACGTATATCCATCCGGTTCAAATAATCTCTGCATCTCAATAAACATTCTTAACGCATCATCATAATCTCCCGATTGAACAAATGCATCAATCATTGCATTCCATGAAACCACACTTCTTTCGGGCATATTCTCAAATACATCTTTTGCGTATTCCAAACACCCACACGAAGCATAGAAATGAATCAAACTGTTATTAATATAAACATCTCCACCCAACCCATGTTTCAAAACATGGGGATGTACTTGTGTTCCTTCTGATATGGCAAACAAGTAAGCACATGCCTTAAGAACAAAGGGAAATGTGTGCTTATCAGGCAAAACGCTTCCTTCGCTTAACATTGCATGAAAAAGTGTAATGGCTCGTTCTTTCTGGTCATTACTATGTGCACAAGCTCTGATTAGAGTGTTCAACATAAAAGAATTAGGGTATTCAATTTGGTGGAAGAGTCGAAAAGTGTAGTTGAGGTCATGTAAGGAAGAGAAATGAAAGACTCGGCTGTACAAAAAGGCGGTGTCTGGGTGGTGGGTCGATGTGGTACGGAGGGTTTGGGCGTGGATTTGTTTGAGCTGAGACATGGATGTACATTGGGTCAAGAGGTGGAGGAGACGGGTGTGGTGGCGGTATGTGGTGGTGGTGGTGGAAATAGTGGTAGATGGTGGGGTTGCAAGAATTATGGTCATGGAATTTGTGAAATATACAGATTCACATACAGCACTGTATCACGCAGCTGAATTTAGAGAATGAAGTCCATTTGCTGTTTCGCTAATCCCTTCAAACCGAAATGTACAGGTTCGAATCCTCGTAGTTACGGCACTCGTTGGTGGGTGGGACTAAACCTTTTGTTTGTGATATTTTAGTAAAATCACTGTTATTTTTTATATGTATCATATAAATAAACTAGCGAAGAACAAAACAGTTATATATACGAAATAATTATAAATATGAAACAGTTACATATATGTGCACGCAGATTTTTGTACAATAAAATAATTGTGAACAGATCTATTTTGTGATGAACTCAGATACGTCGTGGTGATGGATCCGACAACAAGGAATGAGATGAGAGAACCAAAGGGGGCCTAAGGATTGGTGATAAATTGTTCCAGGGGATTCCTAACCTATTCTGATGGGTTGCAAGATGGTCTTGGCATACAACGAAATAAGTTAGAAGGACGTCGGAGTGTTTTTTGACGTATCTCTTCCGACAATCAAGTCAGTTCTTTAAGAGATGAGGAAGAAGAAAACACTATTATGACTTTTGATAGGTGATTTTGCGTACCTTTGCAATGTATTTTTGAGAACTATTTATATCTTCCAAGACTCATCATTGCCTATAGTCTAGGCAATAGGTAACTTTCAGAGATGGGGCAATGTGCCCCCTACTTTTCATGGGGAATGTCCAAATATTGATTGCCGAGCACTTAATGATCTTTCTTCAATGTAGAGACATTAAATGGTTGGATCACTGAGCATTTAATGCTTTTACTCCTCGACTTATCAAGCCATGATAGACATCTTATCAACTGATGATGTATTAAATGTCTGTCTCTATTAGCCGCATATCAGTAGGGGTAGTTCTGCCTTTTTACCCCTTACCTTGTACCCTACGCCACGTGTTTGATTCCCTCTGGTTGAGTGTCCAGTTCAATATGTCACTCCGACTACATTATGCAAAGTGTCCTCACAGTCCCTAGCCTAACTTTATGCAACTTAGTTGTCAGTCACTAGTCTCCTCAGAAGCCGAGGATCTATGGCGAGGTTGAAGAGAGTACCCTCGGGGCCAAGGGGACACGTCTTGGAGCCGAGGAACATGTATCGATGTCGAGTCGGGACTGAGGGGACACGTCTTGGAGTCGAGGGACATATATTGGAGCTAAGTTTAAGTAGGGGGTCTTTGGGGCCGAGGACACGTATTGTTGATCTAAGACTCTTCTAGAAATGTCCCATCAACTGCCCCCAGCCCATTGATCTTCACACGGAAAGGTCATGTGTCGTCGGAAGATAGAAGAGTTTGTAACCATCTCATCATTACTTCAATTGTCAACTGTTTTCTGTCATTTGGAGATCGTGCACGTTGAATGCGCCTTTTCGTGCCTCGTGCACAATGATGGGGCCAGAGGGCCTATATAAACAGAGTCCTTTACCCCCATTTTCACTTTTCGAACTCTCACGTTTCCCTCAGAGATTTAACACCGGAGAACCATTAGAGCTTTAATGCCTGAAGAATCTCAGTCATCCTCTCTAGCAATCATTGGAGTAAAGAAAACTTCACTACATCCTTTCCCTGGCTTTGTTTTGAAGGAGAAAAAGGGTTCCCCAAGTTCAGTCCATTCTTTTCGAGTTTCTGGTGAGTTCTTCGTCTTCTCTTCCTCCTTTTTCACATTTTCGGTGACCTTTCATCTCTTAGACCTCACCTCCTTTTACCTTTTTTGGCAACTGGTCAACATCCACAACCCTTCATCTTAGTTCTAAAACGATTTAGGGTAGTTTCTTAATATTGCCTCCATTCAGGGCTTGGTGCTGACCCCTAGGATTCCTTCTGCAAAAACTTTTCCCAAAACTCCCCCTTCTTTTTACGTAAGAATGCCGAGGAGAGGCGTTCTGTTGCCAAGGACCAAGAGGATGGTACCTCTAGGCTGAGGAAGTGGACCGTAACAGGTGCCCAGTAAATTACAAATTTCAGAGCTCTTTACGACATTCCTCACAGCGTCGGCGTGGATGACTTTGACCCCAGACACCATTGCCATGACGCCAGCGCCAAGGAGGCCATGTCTTTCTACACCATGGCAATTATAGAGGGTGGGATCAGATTCCTCCTCCCTCCATTGCTTCTTCAGTTCCTCTCTAGGTTCCATCTTTAACCAGGGCAGTGTGCCCTCAACACTTTTAGGGTTATCATGGGGTGTTGGAGCTCAACAGACGCCTTGGAGTCAACTTAGGCCTCAAGGATGTCCTTTTCTGTTACTCCTTAATAAGAGTGACTGCCCAGGGGACCTTCTACCTTAAAGCCTGGGATACCTCAATGTATCTGGTCACTCACCTCCCTGACTCTCGACAAGGGTTACAAGGATGACCTGCTGGTCTTTAGTGACGCCTAAGAGAGGGGAGTTGGGCCCAGTACGAATGCTTGTCCTGCCCCAAAGAGTTGCGAAGCACAAGTATGTCAGATTCCCTCCATTCTCTATTTTATAACTTTTGAATACTCTTTTGTACAAAGTGTTAATGACCTTCTTTCTTTTGCGCAGACGTTTTTCGTCAAGAAATTACTCCCTTACCTGGTCATTTGGTGAATTTCAACGATCTCGTCACTGTCTAGGGATATATAGGAGACGGACCCAGCCGAGCAAGTCACATTCTCTTAGGATACACCCCAGGCTACAAGAAATTCTCCCAACTCCCCTAGCACTACGATCCCTTCAGGTGGTCTGAGCTCTTCGAACAGATAGCGAAGCAGGACTTCGAACAAAATTTGGAGGAGGATCCTAATAGGGCCACTGAGGTCGAGGTAGAAGGAGTTGCTAAAAAAGTTGAAGCAGCAGCTAGAGTAAGGGAGCCTCCTACTGTAGTCCAGATCGAGGCCAGCACTTCAGGGAGAGAGGTTTGGCCCCGACTTCGACATTTTGTAGAATTTGGACTAGGAGGACACATTTGAAGCCGCGATGTCGCGCCAACCCCACATTGACTTAAATTTTTTGAATCGGAGGGTTGTTCTAAAGGGCAGGGAAGCGGCAAACAATGTTCCACCACCACCTCCATGGATTGGTTCTAACATTCCCCCTGCACTAGCAAGGACCAGCTCCAGTACTCCCTCTCCAGTGCCTCCAAGGCCCTTTGGTCAAGGTCAGGTCTGCGATCAGGACTCCCAGACTGAGGAGGAGAGAAGAACAAAACAAAGGCACGACGGACAGGGGCCCTCCATTGCCTCAGCAACAACAACAGGAGCCACGACAGCAATAGCAAGATCAACAAACTCCCCCCCTCAGTTACTGCCAGAGTGGTGTCCCCGAGTCCGGGACAGGGACGATAGGGTCATTCGGGTTAATGACTCTGTTCTCCATGATCCTCACGCGGCATACGCCGAGAGCAAGAGTCTGCTTCTTTTTCGAACTAACGTGGAGGAGAACCAGGGGAGGCCCATAAATCAGCTCTTCCGTTCTATCATTCAGACCTCACTAGCAGTAAGCTTTGGACAACTTAAACCCTCAGTCCTTTTTATTTTGAGTGTTTCATCAGCCTGACTTTTCTTTTTCTTTTGCAGAATGCCCAACAAATCTCTGCCATTGTCGAATGCTACCGTGATCAGAGGTAGGGCCTCCACGAGGTTGAGAGGTGGAGAAGTGAGGCCGAGGCATCTCTGGCTGCTGCTCGGGAGGACGTTGCCGCCAGAGACGTTACTCTCTCTTCTCAAGCGGCCCAGATTTCCCAACTCCCTAAGGACAGCGAGGCTGCTAGGTCAGCGCTGAAAAGCTAAGCGCAGCCCTAGAGGACGCCGAGAGAAGGATCATGGAGATGACACAAAAGCTGTCAACTACATAGACCAGGGCAGAGGAGTTAGAACAGACATACTCAACTTTGACATAGGAGTTGGATAGGGGTCAGGCCTAAGGCTGAGGCGACGAAGAAGTCAAAAGAGCAAATACGAGACAAATGCACTGACGACGTCCTAGGAGCCCTTAAGGAGAACAAGAGAGAATTTTTCAACAAGGGTTGGAACGTGGCACTTCAAGAGGCAGGGGTTCCTCTCGGCTCCCCTCTGTTCCAAATGCATGTGTACGTGCCTTCTGCCGAGGTTGCTATCGAAGAGGCTGCAAAAACAAGAAATGTCGCAAACTCTGAAGTCAGAACTTCGGTCCAGGCCAACGATGCTCCTCCTTAAGACCCTCTACCGCTCGAGTTGGCAGTGCCTCCTACTCCCCCTGCTCCTGCTTCCCTAAGTGTAGAGGAGCTCTTCAGCGAGGCTCTTCTTACTGATGTTTGCGAAGTGTTCAGCACTCCGCCCCGATCAGCCTAGACAAGTTTCTTTTTTTTTCTTCCCTTTTTTTTTTGCAAGTCTTTGTAGCCTCGGGGATGCAAAGCCCCGCCTTTTGTAATGAAAGCATCATTTTTTCTATGATATACGCCCTGTCTTGATTAGTGTAGTTCTTGGATAACTTCTGAATTTGCGAAGTGTTGATCATCGGGGCCCAAAGGTGTAGGGTAGAACAAATCCCGAGGAGAAGTCGAACATGAGTCTGGATGGAGGATTCTAGGGTCCTTAGGGCTAAGAACCGGTGAATAAATCACTTTCACTCCGGTTGGTTTCATCTTCTTTGTTGGTTAATCCGAGGGGGTGGGGTATCTATTTGCCCCACTAATATCTAATTTAAAACGCCCGCACCCATGTACTTGTGCAAGCATTCCAATGGTCGAGCCGGTCTCCCGAGGTGTGGCTAGCCAGACATGTGTCCTAGGGATCCTGGACATGATGAGCTTCTAGCGATTCACTTATGCTATGCAAGATCCATATGACGGAGTATCCTTTTTCTAAACTTGCCAATCAATGCCCTTTCCGAAGGGTCATTTTCCATTCAGGAGTCACACTCTTGCATGATAATTGAAAGTTGGGTTTCCCGGTCCTTGGTCACTAGTGTTATGCCTTTTCTAGAAAGGCTTTCCCTGCTTTTTATCGAAAGGAA